TGTATAACCTGTATGAGAGAACGAGATAGACGTAACATCTGTATTACCGAAATGAACGTATACATGAAAGTACGGGTATCTTTAATAAATGGCTATAAGCAAAGGATTACTGCATCATGTGTCCAACAATTCGTTAAGTACCAGTTCTATTAATGCAAATATCCGCACAGGTCTACAATTTGTAGGTTAGTCCGCGCTTTAGCAGACAACTGATCAGGTGCTCGGCCTTCCCCTCCAGCCTACGTGACCCTGCAGCCTATAGCTATGCATACTCTTTCAGGGAAAAATTTTACTGTTGCCGTACAGTAAAAATTATAGTGAATTTAGAATAAATTTTATCGTAACTATAAAAATTACTGTAAACTACGACAAAAATTTATCAACACTCACGGTAAAAATTGACGTAATCACAAATCATCAGAGGATTACCGTTGCTTTGACGGTATAAATTCCTGTAATTATTTTCTGCGTGTAGCATAGTCTATGTTGTTATATATTTTCATTGCTCCTTTTTCATAACTTCAAATCTAATTACTCAAAAAGTGAATACATTTGTTATGAAAAGTAAGAATATTGTTACTTCGTAAGGCATCCATATCTTTTTTTTTACATTGGCAAAAATTTATGTCATTATCCATTTATTAGGCACTTGCAATAGTCTTCCTTCTTTCATATCTAAAAGTATTTTTGTGAATTAAACAAATATTGACATTGAATTTTAAAACCCGAAACTAGGGCTAAAAGTTATAGATTAAATACGTTCTCGTACAATTGTACTTACTTTAATTACTGTTATTAGATTTTATTGATTTAGCGTGTTGCCTGACGCGACCCATTTAAGAGGTCAATTATTTTATTTGAACCTGATGAGGGCCTTGAAACTTGTTTCTGTACAAGCCGAAACGTCGTTCAATAATAAACAAAAGTTAGCAGTATAACCATTGGAGTTCACTGATTATTTATTTAATTACTGTTTTTTGAAACTGTTAGAATCTGTCTGAAATATAGGTGTATAGTCTTGATGGTATTTTAAATTACATTACATTTAAGTCTTTTTGAATTATACACTTACCTACAATACTATCAATTTTTTGGTTATTTANAAACAAGATCCAATCTGATGTCGAGAAAAACTACACATTTCTAAGCAATATCTTTTTTCCTAGCCCTCAATCAATGACATGATCCAAATTATAGATTTTAATCAGTTGTAATTATTTTTTAGTCTCAATTTATTAGAAAGCTATACTCTAAGACAGCAGAAGCTATATTTCTTCGTGCTAGAAAGCAAAATATGTTACACCCTAAGAAGCTATGATTAGCTAGAATTATCAGAACTATTATGTATTTATATATTAACTTACAAATCAACGCATTAATATTTTCGACGAGATAACTTTTTATTAAAAGATTTTTAAACAAAAAAAAAATTAGAAATTTTTTAATTTTACTAATTAATTTTCTAATTTATAATGAAAGTTTTTCGAAGCTATCATTGAACACTGGAATAGTGCTTAATGTATAACTTAATAAGAATCCCCTGATACTGTACATTTAGGTACACTGAGTCATCGTCGAACCTAATGTGTGGTGGAGTTAAGATGATAAATAATAATTTTTTCGTCATATCTGACAGTAAAGTTTGTTGTTTACGTCCGCTTAGTAGGACATAAAGCGACAAATGTACGGCCGCTGGATTTCTTTACATCTGCTGAGCGAGGCGCTTCTACGAGGTCCGTGCTCTCAAATGCACACTTATTATCTATCTCTATATATGAGATCTGTAACGAATAAACGAATATTGGCATCTATGTATATATGGCGGCCAAGTGTTGTGTTAATTGTAGTTGTATTTTTTTTTGACGGCCAGACACATGTGCGCATTGTCTTTTCACCTTTTTAATGCCTTCTGCTATCCGCTTTTATCGTTGCGTCGAGTCGGTTCACGCCAATATTAAATATAGCGTAGCCCATTTTTTTACCTTCTCTTACTTATCATTTACCGTATGATCTGTTTCTCGTCTCTTGTTTACGTGTAATCAAAATAACCACTACGTGTTTTTTTAATAAAATTTATTTCAAGTTTAGAGTTGCTTGTAGGTAATGAACAAAAAATTTTCATGGTTATTGAGCTGCTACCTTGAAAGGCTCGCACTCTACATGAAAAAGCCCATACTCAATACATGGACTGGAAAACCAAGAATCAAGTATCGTTTAATGAAAGTTATTTTTTAGTGTACTTTGAAGAACTATCAAAAAAAATATGTATTTTAGCATTCACTGTTGAATTATGCGTATGTTTTTTTGTGATTGATCGGTCAGTCCAATTTTAGGGCACGTTCGTTTATCCATCGTTCGTTCGTTCGCACTTCATTAGGACCTCGGTGTATAGGATCAATGCTTGTAAGGAACGCACAGTTCGCTGAGTGATTCATTTTTTCCTGCGTTTACCAAATCAACCTATTAAACAAACTTTTTTATACGGGATGACGAAAAATTGTTTACGTCACTCGGCCGTAAGGTGGCTGATGGACGGCCGCGTGATGTTGCCCGAGGCAGAGCCGGCTTCGCCTCGGGCGACACACTTCACGTGGCCGTACATCAGCCACTTTACGGCCTTGTAACGTCATATACTAATAACGTTAACTTCTACTTCCAGAAATAATTCGTAATTTCCAGCCCTCAAGTCGTTGATTTGTTTTGTGAATACAGGTGTAAGTACTTTGATACAAATTGTGCTACTGTTAGTATAAGCCATGTTGATGTAATTTTTGTCAGTGTATGAGAAAACGTTCAGTAAAATGTCTTCGATTAAGGCTTACTTATTACTAGTTTCATTAAGTTGAGAAAATGACACTTATTGGATACTGCGTAGACAGCTGTTATGGTTGCTGAGATTTTTGCATTATGTTGGGAAGCCAGATCATTTGGAGACCATTTTATACTCTAATGCTGCAGCCAACCTCCTAATTCATAGTTGGGACAGTAAGTTATTTCTTTTTATTGAAAAATTTGTATGTCTACAGTAATTTACTTTATTTCACAAGGGTTTTAACGTTGTCTATGTGCAATTTCAGAAGTGGTCAATGAAATCGTTTGCTTTAATCCTTTCCAACAAAAGTCTCCCAGTAGCCATGACTTTTATTATTAAATTTTTTTTTTAGCTATTATAATATGTATAAATATATTAAGGCATATTGTACATACTGAAGGTAATTTCAACCATTAAAAATATTTTTGATGAACCATAACAGTGCTTTGCATACTTTTATACTTTTGCCAGAATCCTGTAAGGGCTTCCTTTTTTTATAACGATTTGATAACCAAAACAAAATTATCACAGGGAACTATATTATTATAATATTTTTATGTCTTTGGAGACTTAGTTGTTGACACATTCTGAAAAAAATCATGCAGGCATGTGTGAAATTTTCGGAGTAAATTACTGTACTTTGAGGAATTACAAATAAAGTAAAGAAATAATCATTCTCTGCTAAAACAACCTTTCTTCACTGTGGAATTCTGGTCCACTTTAAGTAAAGCTTAATGAATAAAGCTTTTGCCCAAAATAAATTTATTTGTCAGGTAACTGTTTATCTTAAAAAATTATACTAAACTGAGATTACTTATGTTTCTACAAATTTTATTTGACTATTCAGCATATGTACTCTGAATTTATATTTGCATGGTAAAAGTCTGTATTAAAAAAGTTAGCTAACAGTATCGTAAGCTAAAAAAAAATTTAAAAAAGAGATACAGATTTGAACTTCAAGTCGATGTACATGAATGATAGTAACGCTTTACAATTCTCTGATTTTAAGTTATTTTAGTAATTAGAAAAAAGTGTATTAGTATGTAAAACAAGATTAAATTAATAAGATATTAAATTACATTTCAATGTTGCAGCATAACGAATTTATAAAGTATTTTCAATTGTTTAGTGTTTAAATAAAAGTAATAGTGTAACAAGTTTGCTAAATTCAGGACTTGGAAGTTCTTTTTTTCTACTTATGGATGTTGTCACCACAACAATTCAATCACTATATCCTACTGATCATAAGAAAAACAAGATCCAATCTGATGTCGAGAAAAACTACACATTTCTAAGCAATATCTTTTTTCCTAGCCCTCAATCAATGACATGATCCAAATTATAGATTTTAATCAGTTGTAATTATTTTTTAGTCTCAATTTATTAGAAAGCTATACTCTAAGACAGCAGAAGCTATATTTCTTCGTGCTAGAAAGCAAAATATGTTACACCCTAAGAAGCTATGATTAGGCATTTTATAAATTTGTTTGATATTTAACATCTATTTTATCATTCTGTCGTTGCGGTCATAATTACAATTAAAAAACTATTCTTAAACGTGAAAATAACTTGTTTGTTTTAATAATTCTTTTTACATATTAAATTACTAAGTCTGCACCTAGGTCAAATTATAACGATTGCAAAGGGTCTATTTCAGAAATAAATTGCCAATTATCTAGGGTTCACTAAATTACCGCTATTATAATACGATGGATACAGTACTTGAGGCGAATTGAGACTTTTAAACAGCTCATTAAATAAATGCATTAAAAATTTTTAATTCCAACTTCTTGTCTTTATTTAATTAGCTGTTTGATGGCGATAACTTACCTGGAACAAAGTTCAAAGTTATTTTGAAATAACTTAGCAATTAATTCTAAGGACATACAACTGATTTTCCCTTACTTAGTAAAACTCTTAGATATGTTGGGATCAGCTGAGCGTGTCCTGGAGCTCGAGGAAGTTAAAGGCGAGGGTAGGCGCTCAAAGATGCTCAATCAAGTGTACTCAACAAATGGCGCTTTATAAGCATACAAAGAATAGAAGGCAAAATGGTACGGCGAAGTGTCGAGAGCTGTGACGGCAGCGGAGGCTGCGAGCGTGAGCATGCGCGAATGCGGCTCATGCGAGGGTCGAGCTCGGACTGGTGTGGGCTGGACGCGCGCCATACTAGGTAGCTGCTTGGCGGCTAGAGAAGGCAGCGGCAGCGCTGCTGGGCGTGGACAGCGCGAAGACCTCGCGTGGCTTCAGCTGCTGCTTGCATCGACCGCCTGTGTGTGCTTTGACGATCGATAGTCGAAGGCACCACAACCACTCCCTCCCCAGAGAGGTCCGTGGGTAACGGGCTAAATGAAACCCGCTTCTTTGGAGGGGCGTCTTTGGGGGCTGTCTCAGGAGTCGCCGCGGGGGGCTTTGGTGCCGGCGAGGAGTCCGCAGGAGGCGCGTTGGGAGGGTTGGTTGGCTGGTCTCCTAAGGGAGAAGAGTCAGTGGCCTCGACGTAAGCCGGCTTCAGGGCGTCCGTGGAGACCGTGCGATGAGAGCCGTTGACATGGATGACGTAGGTCTTGTCATCGACCGAGCGAATGACCTGGTGGGGGCCCGTGTACGGAGGCTGGAGGAGCTTGCGGATGGCGTCAACCCCTTAAAACGTGGGAGCACGTCCGCAAGTTTCTGAAGAAGAACGGGGCGTTCTCCGCTGCGTGTCTTGAAGCTGGCACAGCCTTGATAGACTAAGTGAGTCGGCGGAGACCTTCTACGAAGGTGGCAGGGTTTGCGACGGGCTGGCTCTCCGTAGCGAAGAAGTCCCCGGGCACTCTGAGCGTAGTGCCGTAGAGCATCTCGGCCGGAGAGGCTTGCAGGTCCTCCTTGTAGGCGGTTCAGAGCCCCAGAAGGACCAACGATAGTCGGTCAGGCCATGGGGTCCCGGGGTCGCACATGAGGGCGGCCTTGATGGTGCGGTGGGTCCGTTCCACCATGCCGTTAGACTGCGGGTGGTATGGCATGGTGTGCACCCTTTTGGCGCCGAGGAGCTTTGTGAGTTCCGAGAACAGGGCAGACTCGAACTCGGCGCCCTGGTCCGTTGTTATCGTGAGTGGCGTGCCGTAGAGGCTAACCCACCTGTCGACGAGAGCCTTGGCGATGGTTGATGCCTGTTGGTCGGGCAGGGGGATAGCTTCTGGCCATCGGGTGAACCGATCGATGATGGTCAGGCAGTAGGTATAACCCTGACACGGAGGCAGCTTGATGATGTCGATATGGAGATGCTGGAAGCGCTCCTCGGGGACCTCAAAGGAGCCTAGGGCGGACCTGTTGTGCCAGTGGATTTTGGAACGCTGGCAGGGCTCGCATGTGCGCGCCTAACGGCTAACTTCCTTACGCATGCTTGGCCAGACATGCTTGGAAGCGACAAGACGGGTCGTGGCCTTTACGCTCGGGTAAGCAAGACCATGAAGAAGCTCGAATGCTGTGCGTCGAAGAGCCCGTGGGAGATAAGGCCGGACGACTCTCATGGACGTATCGCAGAGGACGGAGCAGTCGTCGATCGATAGGGTCTGCAGGTTGAGGCTTGAGGGAGTAGAGACATGTTCGGCTTCTTGGTCCTCGTTCTGTGCTTCGGCGATGATCTTCGCACTGAGTTGGGCAGGCATGGAGATGGTGGCGACGCGTGAGAGAGCGTCGGCCACCACGTTATCATCGCCCTTCATGTGGACTAGACTCGTGTTGAACTGGAGTATAAAATCCAGCTGACGGGCTTGCCTGGGCGAGGCCTTGTCCGAGCGCTGCGCCGCTGTTAAGACCAAGGGCTTATGGTCGGTGAAGATCGTGAAGGACCTGCCTTCGAGGATTCGCTGCAGGTTTTTAAAGGCTGCGTAGATGGCTAGGAGCTCTCGATCGTAGGTGCTGTAGCATTTCTCGGTGTTGTCGAGCTTTCTAGAAAAGAAAGCAAGGGGAGCCCATGTGCCCTTGGAGTCCTGCTGCTCGAGGACTGCTCTGATTGCCGTGTCGGAAGCGTCCGTGCAAAGGGCAAGTGGAGCGTCGGGTCGCATGAACGTCGTTGTCGTGGCATCAGCGATGGCTTGCTTACTGTGAGCAAACGCAGCTTCTACATCCAGCGTCTAGGTCAACTCAACCTTCTTTTTCCTGGGCGGCAGGCCCTGAAGAAGGTCGTTGAGTGGAGCTAAGATGTTGGCTGCCCTAGGGACACAGCAGCAGTAATAGTTAAAGAGTCCCATGTACCGACGCAGCTCGGTGGAGGTCTGCGGGTGCGGAAACTCTTTGATGGCCTCAACCTTGAGTGGCGGAGGTTTGAAGCCATGGTTGGATACCGTCCATCCGAGATAGGTGACCTCGGTCTGCCCCAAGACACACTTGGCCGGGTTGATGCGGAGGGACTCGAAGAGGCGACGGAGGTTCACCAGGTGCGATTCGTTGTCCTCGGAGGCGACGATGATATCGTCCAGGTAGGCCCTAGCAAAGGGCAGGTCCCGGAGAAGATGTTCCATCGTCCTCTCGAGAGACTGGGCAGCGTTGCGTTCACCAAGAGACGATCGAATGAACTCGAAGAGTCCAAAGGGAGTCGTCACTGCGGTCTTCGGGATGTCTTCTTTTGCGATAGGGATCTGGTAAAAGGCTTTTTTTAAGTCAATTACCGAGAATACCGATCCCTGCAGTTCCTGGAGAAGGTCCTCGACGATCGGGAGTGGGTAGCGGTCGGGCGTCGTGCAGCTGTTCAGTCGCCTGTAATCGCCGGTGACGCGCCAGGAACCGTCGGGCTTCGGAACCAGGTGGATCGGGCTTGCCCACTGGCTGGAGGAGGGCCGGATGATGCCCTGGGCCATGAGACAGCTGAACTCGTCCTTGGCGGCGTCGGGACGAGGGCCGATGAGTCTTCGAGGGCGCTCGAAGACCGGGTGGCCGTTCGTGTGAATGCGGTGATGCACTGGGAGATCGGGCAGGTCTGCTGCCGATCCGTCAACCAGCGTTAGGTCGTTGAACTCCCGCAAGAGGTCTTGGTAGCGTTGACAAAGGAGTCCTGCCGGAATCTCGACCTGCTGGACGACCGAGACGCTGTGGCCGGTTGTGAGGGCCGCAGAACCCTTATTGGAAAGCCCGGTCGTGGCGTCGAGGAGCTGCTTTCCTTTGAGGTCGATCAGCAGGCTGAAGTGCGTGAGGAAGTCCGCTCCCTGAATGGCCGTCTGGACGTCGGTGACGATGAAGGACCAGACGAAGGCTCGACGCAGGCCTAGGTTGACCTCTGCACGGTGTGTGCCGTACGTGGAGATCGCCGAGGCGTAAGCAGCGGTGAGCGTAAGAGAGGCACGAGCTGTTGGCTTCTTGAACAGGTAAGCTGGGAGTAGAGAAACGACTGACCTGGAGTCGACGAGAAACCTTATCGTTGAGGTTTTGTCGGACACATGGAGGCGATTTTCTGCAGGGAGAGTAGCGCCAACTTCCGCCACCTGATACGAAGGCGGCACTACTCGTTTCCCTGGTTCGACGGGATGAAGTTGCAGGGTGGCCTGCAGTTGCGAGCGTTGTTCCCCAGGGTGTGATGGTACCAGCACCACGGGTCGTTGGGGTCTCGGTTTAGCGTGTTTGACCTGCTTCGGGGGCCGCCTTGCGACTGCGTGGTTGAACGGCTACGTTGCTGGCCTTCTGGTTGTCGCTTAGCGATGTTGAGGAGCTGCGCGACGGACTGACGCAGCTACGCCATCTCCTTGGCCAGGGACTCCACGGTCAGCGCAGAAGACTGACCAGCCGTCTGGGGCTTGGTCGCTTGAGGGTGAACCGCGGCGACGTGCGGGTAGTACTGGATCAGCTCGTCGGCCAGAGACGCCAGCTCATCCAGCGGGGTTGATTTGACGACACGGAGGGAGCGTGCCACGGACGGCGGCAGGAGGTCGAACCACCGGACCCTGATGGCATCGTCGGTGACCGTGGTGCCCGCGAGAGCTTTCATGCGACGCAGGAGCTGTGACGGCTTCTGGTCGCCCAGCTGGAGCTGCGTGAGCAGCTTGTGGAGACGCTGATCGGCCGTGTCTGTCATGCGCTTAAGAATTTCGGCATCAAGGAAATCGTACTTGCCCTCAGCTGGAGGTGCCATGAGGACGTCGGCGATTTCCTGCACCATGGCGTCATCCAAAGCAGCGACGACGTAGTCGAATTTGCTTGAGTCCACGCGGATCCTGTGGTTGTTTAAGGCCGCCTCGATCCGGATAAACCACACGGTCGGGTTGACCTTCCAGAAAGGCGGGAGGCGAAGAGGTGCAACTGACATCACGGGGTTAATGTCGTCACCCATGGGGCTCGCGCCTCCAGTAGGATTGTCGCCGGGGGGAATTACACCATTGTCGTTGGGGGAAATTACACTATTGTCGTTGTTGGCCATGGCGAGTGCCAACGGCGGGACAAGTGTAAAAAAAAAACTGCACTGCACAGCACTGTCACACAACCTCTCACTCTCTGTTTTTGTCCTTGTCTTTTTTAAAACGGTCCACGAGAGCGAAAAAGAGAGAGTGCGGGCACGTTGGCGCGTGGCTCGTACCGTCACCCGAGTTGGCAATGGCCGTGTTCCACGAACGCGAGCGAGCGCGCGGGCTTTTGCTCAAAATGGCGGCGGGCCGGACAAAGCACGCGCACTGCAAGGCGCGCCGTGCGAGCGAGATGAGTCGCCTTGCTCGCCGAAAAAAAAAGGAAAGATGGCGAAGAAAAAAAACACGCAATTGTTAAGCTCACCTCGAAACTTTTACAGGCAGGGTCACCACTGTTGGGATCAGCTGAGCGTGTCCCGGAGCTCGAGGAAGTTAAAGGCGAGGGTAGGCGCTCAAAGATGCTCACTCGAGTGTACTCAACAAATGGCGCTTTATAAGCATACAAAGAATAGAAGGCAAAATGGTACGGTGAAGTGTCGAGAGCTGTGACGGCAGCGGAGGCTGCGAGCGTGAGCGTGCGTGAATGCGGCTCATGCGAGGGTCGAGCTCGGGCTGGTGTGGGCTGGACGCACGCCACACTAGGTAGCTGCTTGGTGGCTAGAGTAGGCGGCGGCAGTGCCGCTCGGCGTGGACAGCGCGAAGACCTCGCGTGGCTTCAGCTGCTGCTTGCGTCGACCGCCTGTGTGTGCCTTGACGATCGATAGTCGAAGGCGCCACAGATACATGATACTTGCTAGAGTAAAAAACATTTAAAGAAACAGGTGGAGGTCTCAGGACCTCCAATGGATGTAAAATATTGAAGAATATGCTATCAAGCTCCGTAGTATTTGACTGTCTATGATAAAAATAGTAGTTTTCGTCAAATAAGTGCCATCGTCTCCAGGGCTATTTGCGGCCCGTGGAATCTGAGAGCACAAGGGTGGTAAGGCAAACACGAATTAAAGGCACTTATGTAGCCCATCCATTTTTTTTATTAAGTGCACACGAGCCTTTTAAAAGCGCGAAAGGTAGGATGAGCATTTATTTTTTTGACTCTAACCAATCTTAGTTTCATATTTTTATATTAAAAAGACAGTTTATTTATGGGTTTGATTTTTCATCTGTTCATATTATACATAAGAAAAAAGCAAATTATATACAAACATTTTTTTTTGATTATTTAATATATAAACAACGAAAACGAGATAGCACAATAATATATGGCGAAGAGTATTCACACTACCTACACATAAGTTCATGTACAAGTTTAGCATACGTTCCTGTGTATTACTTTTTCTGTCTCTCTGTCACTTTTTGAATAAATATTTACTAGGCGTCGTTCCGTACGTGTGTGAATTTTGTTGGCTTTTTACTAAAGAAGAGTTAAGATGGAGTTTGAATAAACACAATTGCAAGACACCGGGAAA